ATAACTATTTCAAATCTGCTTCCTCTTGACTTAGTTTTGGTAAGTGACTTTATTTTCTTTCCTGAAAGTGTAGTCCTCCTTTCTAAATGTGAAAAGGTTATTGATACAAGGTTTTTTATATTCTCTTAATAGCTTTATAGTCTCCATAGCAGCTATGATTACATTTCCATTTTACATCTTCATATTATTTGTATCTTCCCTTCATTTTCCTAAATCATCTTGGCAGAGGTTTACCAACTCTATTACTCTTTCAAAAGGCTAGTCATATTTGTTAGAATTAGGTTCAGCTCTATGTTAAAGAAAACCTTCAAGTATCAGCGACTTACCGTGATATATTCTTTTTCTCACTGTCAAAATGTCCAGAAAGTTCAGTCTGGGCTGGGCTGGTGATCCATGGTGTCAGGAACCAAGTTTCTTAAATCCTGTTGGTCTTTCATCATCCAAGGAAGAAGTCGCAGTCCACAGTTCAAGGGTCATCCTTCTGTCCAGGACACCTGCTGCAGCTCCAGCCAGGATTCCAGGCAAGAGGAGGAGGAAGAGAAGAAAGACATGGCTTCTCCCTGCACATCTCCTGAGAATTGCCACACCACACAGTCGTGTGGCCATGGTGACTTGCAAGAGTCAAGGAAATGTTGGTTTGTTGTTCTCCCCCTTTGTGCTATGACTGTCATACTTCCTCTTGGGCTTTGGAGCACACATGCACAGCATCCAGGATGAATTTTAAGTTGCCAGGTCCAGGATTTGAACAGTGGTCAAGTACACATGAGTCCAGCGATGCAACCATTACACCATCTGCTGGTCCCAAGAGGCTATTTTAAGAGCCCAGGTGTGAAATGACTATGTTTAGAAGCAGGGTGTCAGTGGAAGTACTTAAAAGTTGTCAGATTATGTATTCTCAAAGCAGAGCCAACAGGAACGGCTGACATATCAGATAAGGAATGTGAAAGAAAGAGGAGTCTCAATGACTCCAAGCCTATTGGCCTGAGAAAATGGAAGGATTAAGAGAGAGAGAGACACTCTTTAAAAAAAAAGAAGAGAAGGAGGAAGAGGAGTCTGCCCTATCACATACCAAGACTTAGGAAGAAACTCTAGTCACTCAGATACTGCCATATTGAGCTAACTTCCCTGTTTGTGTTAATATCCCCGATTTGGTTATTGCATACAGCATGCATACCTTCAAAAACATTCTGTGTGGGGAACCAGCAGTTAGCGTAATGGCTATGTCACTGGACTCCCACATAGTCGACCACGGTTCGCGTCCCGAACCCGGTGGCTTAAAACCCACGCTGGGCGCGTGTGCGTGCATGCCCAAGATCCCAAGAGGAGAATGGAGGAGAAGGGATTGCAGTGTGACCATCCCCCCTGGGGGGTGATTTCTTGCTCTCTGTCTCTATGTCTCTCTGTCTGTCTGGCGAGCGCACGCGCCCTATGGCAAAAACCTCTCCCAAAAAAAAAGAAGAGCAGCCAGAAAGCCTCAAAGACGCTGGAAACATAATACATAAGTGAATTAAGTGGTGCCTATGGTTTGAACATCCCCTCCAAAAAACCTCTCCAAAAAAAAAAAGTAATCTCCCATCAGGCACAAGTATGTGTGCACCAAAATCCCAAGAGGAGAATGGAGAAGGAATTGCACCATGGCCATCCCCCCCAGGGCGTGATTTCTTGCTGTCTTTCTGTCTCTCCAGTGAGTGCACACACCCTATAGCAAGAATCTCTCTCTAAAAAAATAAATAAATAATAAAAAACAATAATCAGCCTTTGAAGTTGTATGTACAGTGATGATGCCCTGTTAGGAAACCAGGGGAAGTGAGCCCTGACCCTTGCTCCACTATCTCCATCAGAGATGACACCCAGAATCATCTGGGAGGCATCGTGTCACTGCACTCAGAGGACAGGATAAAAATACCAACCCTGCTTGCCACTCGGGGTAGTATGAATATGACCCAAGGATGCCAAAGAACACACTTTTTAAAATCATGCAACTTGTTATTAAGCACCGCCTAGCCCAGCACTGAGCACATGAAGTTTTCAAAATACCCTGCTATTAGTTGAAGAGAAACGGGATTCCATCTGGTCACCTCCATTGTACACATGAAAGTGACACGCAGTGACCATCTGAACACGCTCTCTCTCGATTCCTATCTCCACGTCTGTGTGATCACCCCCTCGGGCAGCGCCCTTGACTGGCATGGATGAAGAGCTAACTGGGCCCAGCACAGCCTGCTTGTTTATGTCAGCAGCACATGCTGTCCACCTCTTGGACCACCAGTAAAAGTGGGAAAGAGCTGATCACAGGAGGGCTCCTTGATGAAAGCAGATTTAAGTTCAGTTCATTATCCTCTAATTTTCAATGCAACTTTGACAATGGTTTATTTTTAAACATCATCTTGAGTCATGGAATCTCCTCAGAAGACACAGCATTTTTTTTTTAGTTCTTTTTTTTGAGAGATTTTCACTGTAGGGCGCGTGCGCTCGCCAGACAGACAGAGAGAGACATAGAGACAGAAAGCGAGAAATCACCCCCCAGGGGGGATGGTCACGCCGCAATCCCTTCTCCTCCATTCTCCTCTCAGGATCTTGGGGCATGCACGCACACGCGCCCGGCGTGAGTTTTAAGCCACCGGGTCCGGGACACGAACCGCGGTCGACTACGTGGGAGTCCAGTGACATAGCCATTACGCTAACTGCTGGTTCCCTTTTTTAGTTCTTTACATGATGTGGTATCAAAATTCCAGAGATCAATTCGTGGTCAACTTGAGTCCCAGGATTATTCAATAGCTAATTGTTAAGGATGCGTGGTCTGCATGCTTGTGTCCCCCACTCCCAAAATCATATTGAAAACCCTGACCCCAGAGGCGATGGTATAAGGAAGTGGGTCTTTTGGAAGGTGATAGGTCAGAGGGTAGGGCCCTCATATTTAGGGTTAGTGTGTGACTTGTCAGGCTCTCTAGGGAGGCAGAGCCAATGGGATTGTTACGAACATACGAGGGGATGGTGTTGGGGGAATCGAGTCATGTGATGATGGCAGCTGAGTGGTCCCGTATCAGGTGGTCTGCAAGTGGGAGAGCCCAAGATTCTGAGAATGTGGATTCACATGAGCCCAAAGGCCTTGGAAAGCTGGTGTTGGAACTCACAGTGCAAGACTAAATAAAGCCTGAGAACACAGAGGCCCACTGTGCCATTGTGAGTCCAGGGACAGATGAGCCTTGAATTCCAACATCCAAGGCAACAAAAGATTCCGCTCTGCCTCAAGTGAGACCCACTTGTCTTCGGTATTTATTTCCTCAGGTCCTTGTTGGCTGGATAGCACTCACCCACATTGAAGGTGGGTCTTCCACATCGGTCTACTCAGACTTCCATGTTAAACCCTTCTGGAAACGCCTCCACAGACACACTCGGAGCAGTGTTTCTAGGTATCCCTCAGTCCAATCATGTGACACTCAACACTAGCCATCTTGGTGTCTTAATAAAGAAGCCCCAGAGAGCTGTCTTCCCCTTCCACCACTTAAAGACACAAGGGGAGATGCCATTTCTGAACCAGGAAGTAGGCCCTCACCGGACAATGAATCTGCTGGCACTTGGATATTGGACTTCCCTCCAGAACTGTGAGCAATAAATGTCTGTCATTTATAAGACACAAGTCTATTGGAGCAGCAGTAGGCGTAGTGGCTGTGTCGCTGGACTCCCATGTAGTCCACCACAGTTCAAGTCCAGGACCCGGTGGCTTAAACTCACGCTGGGCGCATGTGCGTATGTGCCCAAGGTCCGGAGAGGAAAATGGAGGAGAAGGGATTGCAGTGTGGCCATCCCCCCTGGGGGGTGATTTCTCGCTTTCTGTCTCTCTGTCTCTCTCTGTCTTTCTGGCAAGCATGTGCGCCCTATAGCAAAAACCTCTCGCCCCAAAATAAAATTAAATTAAAAAATAAATTAAAATACACTGTGCAAAATTAACCATCAAAATGTTTGTGTAGCTAAAGCAGATAATCAAATAATTAACTTCTCATCACATATATTCTCTTTTTAAATAATTATTTATTTACTTTTATTTATCATCATCATTATTCAATTTGACCAAGTTCAGTTCATTATCCTCTAATTTTCAATGCAACTTTGACAATGGTTTATTTTTAAACATCATCTTGAGTCATGGAATCTCCTCAGAAGACACAGCATTTTTTTTTTAGTTCTTTTTTTTGAGAGATTTTCACTGTAGGGCGCGTGCGCTCGCCAGACAGACAGAGAGAGACATAGAGACAGAAAGCGAGAAATCACCCCCCAGGGGGGATGGTCACGCCGCAATCCCTTCTCCTCCATTCTCCTCTCAGGATCTTGGGGCATGCACGCACACGCGCCCGGCGTGAGTTTTAAGCCACCGGGTCCGGGACACGAACCGCGGTCGACTACGTGGGAGTCCAGTGACATAGCCATTACGCTAACTGCTGGTTCCCTTTTTTAGTTCTTTACATGATGTGGTATCAAAATTCCAGAGATCAATTCGTGGTCAACTTGAGTCCCAGGATTATTCAATAGCTAATTGTTAAGGATGCGTGGTCTGCATGCTTGTGTCCCCCACTCCCAAAATCATATTGAAAACCCTGACCCCAGAGGCGATGGTATAAGGAAGTGGGTCTTTTGGAAGGTGATAGGTCAGAGGGTAGGGCCCTCATATTTAGGGTTAGTGTGTGACTTGTCAGGCTCTCTAGGGAGGCAGAGCCAATGGGATTGTTACGAACATACGAGGGGATGGTGTTGGGGGAATCGAGTCATGTGATGATGGCAGCTGAGTGGTCCCGTATCAGGTGGTCTGCAAGTGGGAGAGCCCAAGATTCTGAGAATGTGGATTCACATGAGCCCAAAGGCCTTGGAAAGCTGGTGTTGGAACTCACAGTGCAAGACTAAATAAAGCCTGAGAACACAGAGGCCCACTGTGCCATTGTGAGTCCAGGGACAGATGAGCCTTGAATTCCAACATCCAAGGCAACAAAAGATTCCGCTCTGCCTCAAGTGAGACCCACTTGTCTTCGGTATTTATTTCCTCAGGTCCTTGTTGGCTGGATAGCACTCACCCACATTGAAGGTGGGTCTTCCACATCGGTCTACTCAGACTTCCATGTTAAACCCTTCTGGAAACGCCTCCACAGACACACTCGGAGCAGTGTTTCTAGGTATCCCTCAGTCCAATCATGTGACACTCAACACTAGCCATCTTGGTGTCTTAATAAAGAAGCCCCAGAGAGCTGTCTTCCCCTTCCACCACTTAAAGACACAAGGGGAGATGCCATTTCTGAACCAGGAAGTAGGCCCTCACCGGACAATGAATCTGCTGGCACTTGGATATTGGACTTCCCTCCAGAACTGTGAGCAATAAATGTCTGTCATTTATAAGACACAAGTCTATTGGAGCAGCAGTAGGCGTAGTGGCTGTGTCGCTGGACTCCCATGTAGTCCACCACAGTTCAAGTCCAGGACCCGGTGGCTTAAACTCACGCTGGGCGCATGTGCGTATGTGCCCAAGGTCCGGAGAGGAAAATGGAGGAGAAGGGATTGCAGTGTGGCCATCCCCCCTGGGGGGTGATTTCTCGCTTTCTGTCTCTCTGTCTCTCTCTGTCTTTCTGGCAAGCATGTGCGCCCTATAGCAAAAACCTCTCCAAAAAAAAAAAAAAAAGACACAAGCTTTCTGTATTCTT